TATTAGACAGTGATAGACATTAAAACAAAATGGCTTATCTTTGTTTTTCATATATTAATTATTAGGGTAAAACATAAGTTAATAAATAACTACTCATCTAGGTTTAACGACACTATCGATGAATTATAACATAATCAAGACGAAAAAAGAACTAGATCATCATCACATAAACAGAAATGGACTTGACAAACGGATTATTTCCTTTCAAGGAAAATAGATAGAACCTTTAGGATCTTATAAAAACATGCTTTTTTATAATTATTATATCGTTAAAAATGTATATCATTCTAAAATGTTTATGACGTTGTAGTAGAGCCAGTTTCTTAGCTCACTTTTTTCTTTCACTGTTCATTAGTGATAACTTCATGTTTACAAGATTGGTAAACATTGCAATGTTTACTTCGATAACGGTGCCGTAGTCTAAATACTATCAATTTTGATCAGGGTTTCCAATATTTTTGTGATTGATATTCATTCAAAACATTTTGTGAATCACATTTTTTCAAACATTTTAGCTCATATATTTTTAAAAAAAGTTTTGCATTCATTTTGTATTCTTTTAATTTTGTCTGTAACGTGGTGTAGATTCTGTAATCATTCTTAAGGAATATATATATGGGTAACTATTATCTAACTATCGAGACCTAGTTAAGGGAAAGAGACAAAATCCGGATGAGATACCTAATTACCCATGAAATAATACTTACAGAATTCTTAACTAACAATATATTTAATGAGTGTACGCATTCTTCTGGAATCTTTGCATCATTTTAGCTAATTTCATAGTTTACATCAGACGTATATGAGTAAATATTAACGGGTTTCAATTTAAGACCTCATCAAAGTAAACAACTTAGACTATTCCTAATATGTATTTATTCAATAATTAGATTCATTTATCTCTACTCTGTTAGGGCACTAGATATATTAAGTACTCAGTTTTTCTAATGTTTGTGGAAAAAAATAAAGGAAATTTTTAAACATATTTTTACATGAGAGTTTAGATTTACCTGTTGTTGATTCTAAGGACAGTTACTGATCACGCTTTTTTAGATATTCCCAGCCTGAGTGACATTTAAGTTGCGGTTATCAGTGAAATCTATGACATGCCGTTCAACTTATTCTTGATCTGTTTCAATTTCTAGTGTAGATGTTAACATTAGGATGTAGGTAAGTTCAACTGACGAGTCTTAGGATAAAATTCGTTTTATGAATTCTTCTACTATTAGTAATTCAATTTTAGTTGTCTCAAAATTTTAATACTGTGTTTGTACATAGTTTACGTCACGAAACGACTTAAACAAAAAAAACTATCTTGGAACTGCTATATTCTCTGTACGTCATGATCTAATCGTTAAGCTTTTCTTGTATTTCTTGATAAAATTATCAAAGCACACTTTGGAAAGAAGTAAACTACCAGAATTTCCCAACATTTGATTAACGGCTTTCTCCATTGAGTCAGAGTATAAAAAACATAGAAATACTAAAGTTGTTTCATGTTGATTTCAGTCGATCAACTAATGAATACCCACTACGTAGATAGGGATCAAAACAGGAAACATTAAGTCTAATATCAAGATGACTCATTTCAAATCATAAGTTTATTTCATTGACTACAATCGATTCACAAAATTATTCCATGAAGCCTATCTAGTCTTGAATGTTTGACATGTCAGTGAGTTAAGATAAAAGAAGACAAAAGTATGCGATAGTACTATCAAACATATACGAACTTCGTATAAAATAATTTGCAAAAGTATTTTACGATTTTTTAATTTACAATGTTTATTTTTGTTTACGTGTTAATAGTTCAGACTATAAGAACTAATTTCACCTGTTGTTGTTTACTTGTATCTTCCCATTGTTATCTAGGTTTGCAATTGACTATTCGCTTGTTGGCACATGTGCATCCTGTGCGGACTGCCTCGATATTGCCGGAAGTCACAAGCATGATAAACAAAGATGGATAGTGGCTAGCAGTGGAATGGAGGACACACGTTTCATCCTATTCGGGACTCGTCAGTTGGGTGTATTGCATCTCAGAGTTGGTGTTCACTCTGGGACTCAAACTCAATACCTTTCGCTTCAAACGTCATTGCGTTATCTACATATGCCAGCAAGTGACTGTTTGATTGTAGACCTAAATAACAATGAGAAGATATAAGTGAACAACAACAGGTGAATATAACTTTCAGGAATTATTTTTTTTACTGTGAGCAAACACTCTCTGGTTACCGTGTATTTTTTAACAATTTTGTTCATTCTTGTTAATAGACATGAAAAGGATGAATAGCTACTGAAAACAATTGGGAAAGACAGAGTTGAATGGAGAATGCTAGTTAGCGGTCTATACTCTTCCATCGACGGTAACAGGCATAAGTAAGTAGACAATATCTAAGAACAGATTGGATGTAATTTAATTTACTTTATAAATGAAATAGAACAGTGTAAATATAATAAATTTTAAATATGTTTCAATACTTAATAGGATTAAGACTATTGATGCAAACATTTATACTTTTATCTTCTATAGAAAAATCAACCTACTGTTTTTTCTATTTAAGTACTATAATTATTTTTATTAAAAAGTAACTAAAACTATCTGGAATAATGAAACTTATTTTAGCTTAATCTAAAGTGATGTAAAAAATATTAGTATAATAATAGAAAATTAGATTATGGTTACTATCCGAGTTTCTTAGTGTTGGATAGAAACAAAAACGAAGTTCCGATACCATAGTTTCTATTTTTATTAATGCCAATTTCCAATTCTACGATCATTCATTTACTTATAATTATCTTAATGCTTAGATTAAACATATATACATTAAAGTTGCCATGTTACATTAGCCTAGCAAATAGGTGAACACCAAATGGATCATAATAATAATAATATGATTACAGTTAGGACAAGTGCAATAGTGTGAATATTGTTCTAATTAAATTTATCTGTCATTGTTACCGATTTCGGTAACATTTCAGGGCTCAGTATATAATATTGAAACAAGATTTATCATCATATGATGGGTTATACAGAGATGAGTTATTTTGAATAGTATAGTGAGGGAATTGTTTTAATGTAAAGTTATTATCAATCTCAGTAAAGATTCAGAACTAATTTATGGCTTTTAATGTCTAGAAATATAACGCATAACTATCTATTCATATTACTTGAATTATCGTCGTTGTTTTCGAACAGCCTTACCATAATTCATAAAGTATAATGAGTATTTATAAGAACTTTCGTCTAAATTAGAACGAATAGTTTCACAGTATTTGGGCGCCTAGTTGATGTGAGATATTAAACAGGAAGAATATATTTCCAACGTTTCGACAGACAATCTGGTGGAAGCCTTTTCAAGAAAATATTTCCTTGAATTCATTCGCTGAGATTTTACAAATATATTCTTGCTATTTAATATAGTAATTATTAATGAATCCAAAGATTATTTACATTACTGAATAAATTCAGCTTAAAAAAACATTGGAATGTTGCCCTTATCACTCCATAGACTTGAACTACTGTACTCTATAGAATTTTTTGATGGATTTATAATTTACAGACGATCTGAGATAGGCGTTTAAGTGAACTTGAAAAACTTTCCCTTATTATTAAGGTAGAAATAGGTTTATAGATTAGTGTGGATAATGACGACTAGGTTTGAGATTTAGAATTTGAACTAAAGAACTGCAGTTTGGGTTTTTAACATGAACTAAAATACCAGCTATAATACCAAAATGTTGTTTAGTAATAAAGAGAAATTAATTTCCCTCTAAAATTCAAGATTTGGTATCTTAAATTTTAATGGTTTGTCCATAAATTATTATCTTACCCAATCATATTAAAAGACTAATATTTGAACGAAGAATATTATATTCTTCGATAAATTCACTTCAGGTTCTACAGTTATATATGCAAATTGATAATCAGAAAAAAATGTTCAGGTTAAAGGCAAAGTACATCATTTAGGATTGTCAAAGCAAATAGAATAAAGTTGCTAATGTTGGTTTGTCTCATATGGAATATTAACTTAAGTCAGCTTCTATTGCTAAGGGAAACTTTAAGATCTGTGATCAGAGTAAATATGGGTTAGATAGGGTGAGAGAGATATGATAGTGCAATTACAATTCGATCAAATGGAAGACTAAGTTGTGTGAGAAATTAGTAAGACGTAATACATGATTCATTCACTTCTTATTCATCCTATCTTATTTTTCACACAATTTAGTCTTCCATTAAACATTTGATCGAATTGTAATTGCACTATTACCCATAATTATTCTGATCATGGATCTTAAATATTCACTTCACATATATACAGATTCAAGTTCACTTTCTATATAAGTCATATGAACATTAACAATTCTATTCTATTTGGTTTGACAGTCCATAATTCACATTCTTTAAACGATGTACTTTGCCTTTAACCTCACCATTTTTTCTGACTAATAATTTGGATATATAATTGTAGGACCTGAAGTGAATTTAACGAAGATAATAACACTTTTAGTTCATACATTAGTCCGATAATCTTACCGTTATTTTTTCCCGAAGACTGATTCATATGTAATGGCAATATTGTATTATCATTAGGGGTTTTGTGGAGACTTTAGTAATTTTATAGTTGAAATCATGAGTCAATTGAAGTTAGATCACCATGGAAAACCTCGAAGCACTGTACGGCCATTTCGTCCTATTATGGGACTCCTCAGCAGTGGGCGTCCACGATCACGGTTGGACACCGGCTCAGTGATCTAAAGGTGAAGCGCCCACACGCCAGACCAATAGGTTCTGTGTTCGAATCTCGCAACGCGGGATCGTGGATGCACACTGCTAAGGAGTCCTATAATAGGACGAAACGGCCGTCAAGTGCTTCCAGGTTTTTCATAGTGATCTAGCATCAATTGACTCATGATCTCAGCTATTGAAATAAAATAAACTTGTATGAAAAACAAAAGAAAAGGTTACCATGCTAATCATATCAAACTACAAAACTTACCAAAATATAATATAACACAATGAATAGATTTACACATCAATATCATTATCATCTTCATCATCATTATCATCAATTATAATAAGCTCAGATTGAGTGAATAAATTAAAAAAAATTTCAACTTTGAATAATTTATTTCTATTATATTATTCAATTGTATGAATGTCACTTGTTATCATCTAAATCTTAAGGAATAATGAGTAACTTAAATAGTTTCTTTAATAGAATGAACTAACCAATCAGATATTATTCTAATCAATTTTGTAAATATAACATAATATAAATGACAATTGGATAAAATAAGTAATAATAATAAAGTCAAGATATTGGTTAGGTATTTTCAATGTAGACAATTTATCAAATATACAATCAAAATAGAAATTCTATTTTTTTTAAAAAAAACGTTTACTAATAATGATGACAAGAAAATAACTCAAGTTTACCAGAAGAATTAATGATTTCTTTTTAGTAACAATGGTAGACGGTGAGGTAGTTTCGTGGATTAGTTGAATTTACACATTAATATTAATTGGATGTCAACACGTTAAGTGCTCTCGTGAGAGACTAATAGGTCCTGAGTTCAAATCTCTTGAGGCAGGATCGTGGATGCACACTGCTGAGCAGTTCTTGAGATTAGAGAAAATAATCTTCCGAAAATACCATTTTAAATATTATACAGATCTTTAACCAAAAGTGTATGAAATATTTTAATAATAGAGTCTTGGAATAATTTAAATGCTCCGTTGCCGGAAACTACTTATAGTGACATGTTTTCGTAAGATATCCTTTTCCTAAACAATAACTTAGATTTTAATCACCATAGTGGAGTTTTCTTTGAAAGAAACAACCGTGTATTCAGTAAATTGGTTTTATATCTAACCTCCCCTACCCATTCAGTTTTGAGTTATGTCAATATCTCTCAGACAGACCGGTTGGTTGAAAGCCGAACGCATAAACCTGCACTTAGTAAGTAGCGTACATTATATGTACAAAAAATTTATTGTACTTTGAATGGTTGTACTCTTATTTCTAAAATGAATAATTTGAATATAAAATTAGTATAATCATTGCATATCATCAATAGTTCATCAGGTTAAGTTTGATCATATATATTTTGTGTTCATTCAGTATTTTATGGATACATTCAAAGTTGCAACTTATTTAGTGTTTGATAATGATGGAGAGTACATTGACTAGAATAGAATTAGTAAAGTTCATGAATATCCTTACTATACGATCAAGACTGATGTAAGTTATTTACTGAAATTAACAAAATATATTTATCTTAATACGAACTTTTATAATTCGACAAATTGTGGAAATACTTGACAAGATGATATCATCAGTTCAATAATCCTAATTGAAAATGGCATGAAAATGTGATTTCCTATTTTATACATTTAAAATACAAGTTTTGTTCAAACATACAATTTTATATCGTTGGGAGCATGAGTCAATTGAAGATGGACCACCATGGAAAAACCTGTAAGCACTGGACGGCCGTTTCGTTCTATTGTTGGACTCCACCGCAGTGCGCATTCACGATCCCGTCTCACGAGATTCGAACCCAGGACCTATCAGTCTCGCGCGCGAGCTTCAATTGACTCATGATCTCAACTATATAAAATTACTAAAATCTCCACAAAATATCCTTCCGATAACAAACATACAATGTTTTAGAACAATCAAAGGAACTCTGGGAAATGTTTTAAATAGGATTCTTACCATGTCTTTAGATATGTAAAAGCTCTATAAAAGTGGATAAACTAAAACCAAATTGCAAATTCCTAAATTGGAATTACAATTTCCATAAAAAATAAATGAAATTCATCTAGCACTAGAACCCATGATGTGAGTTTTGTCTTATTTGAGACTCTTTAGTTGAGTGTACCTGTATACCAGCGTGAATATTCAATTCAGGACTCAAAATTGGAGCCTTTCGCTTCAAACATCGAATACATTATCCCCTGAGTTTAGATAACCACTCAATTTGTAACGGGTATAAATTATACTTTAATTTTTAATGGTTTTAATTATTCCGTCAACGATATTTTGACTAAATTTTTATGATTTATAGTTGAAATCCAGCTGATTAGTCTCAAATAAGGCAAAACACAAAGTCTCGATTACAATATGAATCATGTTCCATTTACGTCATACAAACTTATGATAGTAGCTGTACTGGGACAATCCTCTCAGAATGTAATTATATGCCGACTAAGGCTGTTCAAAATCCAGTTATAAATTGGATTCTACCGTAAAACGTAAGTTATAGATTTTATATTTTATGTCATAAAACCAAATTGTAGTGAACAACATGCTTTATCACTTCATCAGTTAACATAAATTCTTAAAACTAGCGTATATCACAATTATTTCATTAAAAACTAAATGAACCCGTCTTTTGTTGACTATAACATCTAAACAACACCTAACTATAATTTTTTGACTGCTGATGACCGGAATTTATAAAAAGAGAGAAAAGACTAATAACCGCAAACATTATGAAACGTTTGACAGTATTATTTAAACTTTTATGTCGGCAGAAACTTACCAACTAGCTCTAGAATTCTTTACCTTGTTCTCTTGTCTATTGAAAATGCTACTTACGAAGAAGAAGTAGGAGAAAAGAATCAACAACAAAAATTTCAAATTTAGTGAGTCCAGATGATGATGTGCCTGAGTTAGGACCTCTTAAAAGATGATATTAGTATTAAATAATTACTTAGGAAAAATAGGCTTTAAACATATTAGTAACAACGGAAGCAACAAAAGCCATCTATTGAGATATAAACACTAGGGTAAAATATAAATGATAAAGTAAGCAATGAACCTTGTTTTAAATATGAAGATAATTATCATCATGAAATAACATTATTTGAAGAGCCAAGCAGAATGAAGAAATATTGAATTATTGTTTCGTTTTGTTTTGGTACAATCCAAGACAGTATAACAGATTAACTTAAGACTTCTTTAACCATGTAACAAATAAAGTATTTATAAAGCAACAAGTTAAAACTCAATTGTTGAGATATTGTAAATAGACCATTGAATCATGTCACTAATATCAATCTAAGTTTATACGAAGATGAATTCCCATGATCATCACTTTAAAATACTGGTTATTAAATAACGATTCAGTATCTCAACATTGCCATCTTTACTGTGTGCTATCTTGGATAAACACTTATAAATAATTGTAAGCAAAGTTAGATAGTGGCTAGCAGTGGAATCCAGGACGCGCGTTTTGTCTTATTTGGGAGTCGTCAGCTTACAAAGTATCATGATTTAACATGAAATGGTTGTTTGTATGAATAATTCTATAATATACCTCTCTTTGTAGTAAATATTAACATTTTTCTTGATTTTCATGAGACAGTAATTCACATTGGCATTGCTGTTAACTTTTATTAATTAATATGAAAATTCAAAACCCCTTTGTATATTCAAAAACAGTTTGTTCTGACCTTAAACCTACCCTGGTAATATTAGCTTATTATCCAGACCGATTAGGTTTCAAGTTGTTTTAACATTATTATTATTATCCTTGTCTACTCTTACCCCCAGTCTAGTCGACCTTTTATTTTTATAGCTAAATGTTTTTAACAAGTATATATGTGATCAGATTGTTCGAAATGTATTACGCCAATATATCACATAGTTCTGATAATCTTTGTCTTCTTATTAAACTATCGTAATATACCTGTATTAAAATCTAATTTTTTATATCGTTTTACTATGAGCAATGTACGAATTTCCATTTCTGTTTAGAAGGTTTATTTTAAACCAATTATGTATTCAAATCCCAACATATATTTTAAGGGCCTTCATAAAATTTCAACAGTCTGTTGTGGTGATGGTGACTAGTAGTAAGAGACGGAAACAACATAGTCGTAGGTATACTTTCCTTTCTGTTTATTCTTCGAAGAACTGAGAAAAGAATACATTGAGATGCGTGCAATAAACATATTATATTGTGAGAAGATATAGAAAATGTTAACGGCTGAAAATGTCAGTCAGTCAGTTACAACGTAGGACAAGGCACACACATGCATCGGTCCAAGTTGCCATACCTCGTTAGCACAACAAGACGAACACTGAAGTTATAGAAGTAGTTAATTTTATGGCAACAATACATAAAGGAAAGATTGTATATAAGGATGTAGAACAAGAAGAAAGACAGATATGAAGCAATTTTAATCTCACGATTTAAGGAAAAATAAAGAGTGCATACACCTGTGCCATTGTGATCGGTTCTAAACCATGTCACCCAGAGTCTCCAACCATTGATTACAATAGTCACGCTGACCTCAACCAAGTAGTCTGCACCTACCAACATGGCTTAGACTAGAAGTTAGCGACTTCAAGCTCTGATGAAGACCGTTTTGTCTTTAGAGATGTAGGTTCCTATAAATAATATTCAGGGGAATGAGTTGAGACTAGCCTTTCTGTCCCTTTTTGATGTACATGTGAACCGACATATCTAATTAAAGATGATAAATTCATCAAACTCAATTAATTCTCTGTAAGTTAAACTGAAGGAAAGATAAGATATAACATTTTCTATATAATCACGCATCTACTCTAATAGTACAACTCAAATTATTTATAATTATACTAAATTAGGACAAGTTATTAATATGTATTCAATATTCTTATGCACGATTGATTCAAACATGAAAGTTTATGAATTATTACTATTCAGTTCATGTTACCTTTTTTTATAAACAGTTTGACTTTATACGAAACTGAAGGTATTTCATTTATAATTGATATCAAAGTATGAATTATTCGTTAACATAATACTAAGGTCTTGAATGACCTAATTATAAAAAATGATCATGAATTTATGATTTACCTTTTATTGATATCAAGGACTCAGTAGAATGACAGCTGATGGTTAGTCAGCTTTCTGAAAGAATATCTTTGTATTGTCTACATTTAATTTCAATATGAACAAAGGATAGCAGTGGAACTCGACTAGTACGTGTCATCATCCTTATTCAAGTATTGTTCATAGCTAATTTAAAGTGGTTGACAACAAGCATATTTCCTGTCAGCCCAATATCCCGGTAAATAAAACTCTACTAATTGTAGCACCGTAGATACTGAGTTCGAGTTTCACTATGAACACCAGTAGTAAGATGCAGAAATATCCAACATTTAATTCATTGATAGAACGAAAAATACATGAC